TAAAGTCGCCCAAGGCTCTCTTACCATTCATGTTAAGGAAGTAATCATCCCTGGTTCTTTCATCGTCGTTTGAAGCTCCAGACTCAGCTCCTGTAACCAGTCAGGACACATCTATACCAGGCATCTAAAAAATCGGCTCCTGCAACGTGTCAGGTACTCATTTTCTGTTTTGCAGGTATACAGGTTCTCGTCAAGGAATCTCCTACGCAATCAAACATCCAGATGGCATCTATAAGCCCATTCCACCATCATTGCTAACATGTGAGCGCAAATTTCCGGGCACTCTAGTGTCCAATCATCTTTTACCCTCGGATTACGAAAGGCACGTCAGCCAATCTGCATCCTCAGGTCTAAGAAGATTGAACAGGGGCAACTGTTATACCCCAAAATTTGCCCTCCCATATCCTTCAAGAAATTGCCAAGCCAAGTCACAAAATTCCCCAAGGGTTGTGCAGTGCAACAGTCTCCCATACAGTCAAAATTAGGGTTTTGAGTCTGATCAAGAAAAGAAAGTTTTCAAAGGCTCAATCAAGTCTCATATGCTTACAAACATGGTCAAGCATCCCCATATCAAGTTTCAAGGCATTCAGCTCAAGATTGCACAGTCAAAACCCTAAATTGCACTACAGTTAACTGTAGGGGCAAAATGGTCATTTGACAGTCAAAAGTTCAAATTTTTTGGTCAATATATCATTTTGAAGCCACAAACATCATTTGATCAATGCTTGATCATGACTCTCAAAATTTGGCTCAGAAATCATCAAAGATGCAAAAGTTGCTATATTTGGACAGTTGAAAAAGTCAACTGAAATTGACCAGGGCATAACTTTCACATGGATTATCAGAAAAATTCCATCCAAAGCTCATTTTGAAGATAAAGACATTTCCTACAACTCATCTTCATACTTCAAGTCCAAGAAATGCTCTCACAAAAAGTTATCAATTTCAACATTATAGGTCATTTTCAAAAGTCAACAAAAAGGGACTTTAAGTCAAAGGCCATAACTTGAGATTGGTAAATCAAAATGACATGGGACCAAAGGCATTGGTTAAAGGACTCAAAGACCTTTCCAAAATGTCCAATAACATGTGAAAATCTTAAAAATTGAGCAAGTTATGCCTTGTAGAAGTTGGGAAATTTTTGTGAAATGGCAAAAGTCAACTATCCTTGAAACTCCAATTTTTGACAAAAGGGCCCACTTTTTTCCACTTGATTCATCCTTGTCATGCCTCACACGTGTCCCATGATTAATTTCAAGACCAAATATTGATTTTTCTATTTTATTTAATTTTTGATAATTTAATTCATTTTAAATCTTTGAAAATTCAAATAAAATTCAAAAACCAATGGAATAGTGTCATGTGAATTTGGACAATTTCCATGTATCATGTACCAACTCAAGAACTCAGGCTAGGGTTAAATTGCACACTAGGTCTAGGTCTTGGCTAAAAAGAAGGAAAAATGGTTAATGGTAAAAACCCTAAGACTTGTTCTTTCCTAAGCATGAATTAAGGTCAAATAGCAAACCAATTCCATTCCATTATGATCACTAAGTCAAACCCTAAGCCTGAGACATCATAAGCTGCGCCCAAACAAGCTTTGGCAAATTGAAATTTTTCCTTAAAACTCAAACACTGAAAACTAGTTTAGGGGTCGATTCAAGCATCAATTTTCATTCCATTAGCATCCTGGACAAATTCTGAACGCATCCCAACTCCAAACATCTGTCAAAACTCCCTGAACTGGTATCCATGAGTAAAACTGTGAAGCAAAGTTTTTGAAATCGCATAGCATAGTTCAAGCATTTTTTTTCATTTTTATTTATGTATTCATGATCATAACAAAGTTTCTAAGCTATTCATTGTGTTTAATTTCATTTTTGTTAATCATACGCGAATCTACCATGGCCACGTTTTAGGGTTTTCAGGTTTTGCTTTTAGGGCTTTTACCATGCTGTAAAATCAGCCTTCCAGACCATGATAGTCATGCTCAGCAAATCTAGACGAAGATGAAGCATTGGTCGCGACAAATTTATGAGCTACATGGACCTAATCGCTATTTTCTCAAAAGCTGTCTAATGAAACGCCCAGAAACCGTTGCCTTCTTTCTTTGTCTTTCAGGAAAACGAAAGAGATGATGGCGTGGCACAAGTGGATTGGAGGAATTTGAATTAGCGCGCGTTTTAAAGAGCACTAACCTTTTTTCTTTTATAATATTTATTGGCCATTATATATTAATTGAAATCAAAGTGGTTCAGTGGCAGGTGGAAGCGTTTGCAAGGCACAAGACCTGGGTTCGAGTCCCAGGTCTGGAAAATTTCCATATTATTTTTCTCTTAGTAATTACGTGCAGACATAACATTCAGGCTCACCATGTTCCATCAGAAATCAACCTCCACGCGTCCCAGAGCATCCAAATCAATGGCCAAGATTCAAGGAACACGTGCACAAGGGTCAATGCATTAGCATACAAACTGGCAAAGTCAACGGATCCACAAGTTTAATGGGCCTGATTTGCTAGGCCTCACCTCCAATTTGGGGCTACCCCCCCTGGTTTGCCTTATTGTTTTTATTTTTATTCTTTCCTTAATTTCTCTTTTTTATTTCTTTTATTTTGCTATTTGTTTAGTTAATTATTTTTAACAAAATACAAAAACACACCAAAATCAGAAAATATAAAAAATATAATATTTATTTTATTATGATTATTTTCAAATAAACATGTAAATAATTTAGTAAATTAGGTTATAAGTTTAATTCTTTTGTAACAAAAATGTAAAAAAATATAGAATTAGGTTAATAAATATTTTTCTTCCTTTTTAATTTTTTCCCTTTTTTTTTTTCACAGTAATAATTATTTATTTATTTATTTTTTATAATTAAATTGCACATAAAAAAATTTTTGGTTTAATTTAGATCTTAATTTAATTTTTTCCTAATAAACTTAAAAAACAATAGAATTAGGTCTAATATTTAATTTAATTTCAATTAACTCCTTTTTTCTCATTAAATCTAAAAAACACAAAAATACCATTTTCATTTAATTTTAATTTTAAATTCCTTGTTAATTTTAATTGTTTGTAAAAGGGTCCAACGCCCTAGTTTTGTTTAATTCCTTTATTTCGCGCATTTATTTTATAATCGTTTAAATAATTTTGTATATGCCCCAAAGCCTTGTAATAATTTTTTACTTTATTTCTCGCACTTTTACTTTCAGTCAAATCGGGTTCGGTTTATTTTGGCGATGTGGACCCGCGCCATTTGTAATAGTTTAGATTTATTTTCTCGCAAATATATAACTGTTAATAAATATGCATGAAAGAATGTATGGACCTAAAAATAAAATCAAGCGTAGATCACAACAAACATGACAAGACAAAATAATTGAAACATGACACACGAACCGCACACACCACCCCTAGGGTACGCCTCACTGTTGCCTTTCGAAAGGTGATCGTCAAGTAGAGGACGTCTTAGTAAGTCCTCATGATCCGGGAACCTGGCATGAGGGTAGCTTCTAAGGTGTCTTCCCATTGCTCTGGTGATCACCACGTCCCTAAAACCCGAATTGACCCGAACACCTCTAACGGTGGTGCTACCTACCTCTCAATGGTGGGATGGCACTACTTTAAAGGACTTTTACACAGACGAATTCCTTAGGGTAGGTAGGTTCTCAAGGATACTTGCTCTAATTTTAAACAAATCAAAATACTTTTCACACCAACACACTTTCAAAAACTTTCAAAACAAACTTTTCAAACACTCTGACGTACGAGTTGAACTGAAACTTTTCAAAGAATATTTTTGAAACCCACATTGAAAAGCAAGCAAACATTTTTGAAAACACAATGAGCAAGTATCTAAGAGCCCATGGATAACCATGGATAGAAAGGGTGCTAACACCTTCCCTTTCTATAACCTACCTCCCGAACCGAGAGCAATCTCTATAAGGAATTTTTCTGTGCTTTTGTCCTTTCCATTTGGAGAAAATAAAAGACGGTGGCGACTCTTGCTTCCGCGACATTTCGCGAACCAGCTTTAAAACAGTCAGTTCCAGATCCACCGATCACACCATCCATTTTAAGTGCAAAATTGAGAAAAATAAAACTTTTTAAATTTAAAATAAAAAATAATTATGAATGACTTAAAATAGAACCAAAATTATAATTAAACATATTTTAAACTACACTCTCAATTTCACATATTATAATTATATTCCATATATTAAACTTCACTTCCAATTTCATTCACACAATTTCATACTTTTCATTTTTAGCATCTTCCAATCTATTATTTCATTACATGCCTACGTGCATATCCTTATTCAATATGAACAACATTCAAATAAAAATAAATAAACATAGTAATATAAAACCAATGAATCTCTCATAAATTATTCATTTATGGTGAAAATACACAAAAATAAAAATAAAATTGGCTTAATTACAGTTTTAGTTTTTTATTCTTATTATCTTCTTTTCTTTTTTTTTAATTTTGATCCATCTATTTTAAAATCTAGAATTTTAGATATTTATTTTAATTTTTTCTGATAATTTTTGTCCGTCTACAAATTCGAAAACAATTAATAATTTTTAATAACATGACATTCACATTAATGATGTATAAGTGTAAATTCCGCCGTGAACACAAAAATAAAAATAAAATTAGCTTAATTGCAATTTTAGTTTTTTATTATTGATTTTTTTTTATAATTTTGGTCAATCTATTTTAAAATCCAAAATTTTAATCATTTATTTTAATTTTTTTTTTTTGAGAATTTTTATTTCTCTACCAATTCGAAAACAATTAATAATTTTTAATAACATGACATTCACATTAATGACGTGAATAATTCAAAAAAACTATTTATTTAAGATTTAAACATGTCATCATTATGAGTTAAATGTCATAAAAAAATCATCTTTAGAGAGACTAATATACAATTGAGTTGTGTAATGTTGCATTACAAATTAACTATGAATAAGCATACCAACTCCAAATCAATTGCCTCTAAAAATATGAACTTGAAATAGAGCATCTTTATTCTTCTTGATGAGCTCAAAGACACATACATCTCCACCTTTCAATTTACTTTCTTCCCAAAATTGATTCCAACCTCTAGCAAACTCTCCAGATTTCCTGTCTGAATAACATAGCAATTTTACAGGCCATGATTTCTTCCCAATTTTTAACATCACAATCTGCTCCTTCTTATTATCCAAATACTTTCTAATGAAGGACATTGGTAAAATCTGCATAAGCAACATTTTAACCATTAGTAAAAATCGAAAACTAACATTTTGACTATTAATGAAAACTATGAACTCAAATAATATTTAAATAAATATAAATTGTAAATTAATTTTGAGATATAATAATACTTACCAATCTAGAGTGTCTCCGTGGATTCATTGTAATTTTGACTTTGAAAAAAGGATATTTAAAGTTGAACTTATCATCTTTATCATCTTTGTCCTGAACTTCATTCATAAATACATGAGTCTTTGTTCGCAATGAAGTTCTTCGTTGCACCTTCTCGTCTGTCATGTAAACTAGTCAATATACTTTCCTTTTTATAGCTTAGCATCAAGAATGTAATTCTTCACGAATTTCTTGTACGACAAATAACTATAATCAACTGTTGATCGAGTAACAAAAGTATATAAACGATAAAATTTACCTTTATCGAGAATAATGGGTTGACTCTCGGCACCCGAGATGTCTTTGTCTCTTTGATCTGATTTTAAAGAGAGAAAATTGTGTAACCATTATTTTACAATCAAGCAAGGTAATAAAAGAAAACACCTTAAAAGACAAATGAAGTTGGATTGTACCTTGAGGTGATGGAAAATGTGATTCTTCAAGTCGAAAAATTAGTACTTTTAAAGTAAGAGTTTTGCTTTTGACTAACTCAAACACACACACATCACCATTTTTCAACTCATTGTCTCCTACAAATTTCTTCCATCCAACTTTAATTTTTCCAAAACAATATTTGGCATCCCAAATTCTACCATCCACGAGCTCAAGAAGAATTTCACTTTGCTCTTTCTTCATATAATCTATTGTAAATTTTGTTGGAATATGCTGCATTTTTTTGTTACAAGTTAGAAAATCTAACTAACAATCAATATCTAATAGATAAGATCAAATGTTATTGAAAGCATACCAAAAAATAGCTAAAAAGATATGAAGGTTTCATGACAATCATGAATGAAGGGTTTTTAGATTTGAATCTTCTAGCTCTATTTAACGCTTCATTCTCGTGCTCATGCTCCGCTCTCTGGTGTTCGATGCTATCACTTGTATCGTCTAAAAAAATGAACAACGGAAATATTTATGACAATTAGACCTCAAAATTTAATTGAATAATTGAAAAAGACATTTCAAGAATAATTTACATCATGAATTATACTACCACTACCTTGAACATGATGCTTAGGAAAGCCATGAAATTTGGAGCTTGTTCCAACATCTTTACTTGTGTCACTTCTAAGTTTCTTCTTTTGTGGCTGAGGATATGAAACTGGCGATTTAGGTCTAGTCTTCTTCTTGCATGAAGTTGACTTATCCAAAATTTCAACGGAGTCATCATCACTAGTTTCAACAAGATTGTCTTGTTCATGATGATTTTCATTGAAAGGATATTCAATTTCAAATGTATTCTTGCCAAATATGTGTATCACAAAAAGAGAGTTTCCTTCATATTGAAAGAATATCATGTATCCATGATCTAGTGAATAATATGTAGCAAATTCCTTCCAACCCTTTTCAAACCAAAAACCTTCATCATCTTTAGTGATGTGCATTTCCCATTTTTTGTCATCCGGAGTCTTGAGAAACATTCGACTTGACATATCATTATTATGTTTTCTAATGAAACCGTTTGGAATCCTCTGCAAAGCATTGAAAAAGCATATAGATATGACGATATTTATAAACATTATACCATAAATTAATTAAAATGTAACTTTTTTTTGTAGAGACGGTAACATGAATTAGTTCGCCCTGTCGATAAGGTTGAAAATTACAATTCACTTTAGAGAAAAAAATATACTCCGATAAATCATACTGTTATTTTTAAACTAGTCGTACGATATAACTGAATAAGAAAAATTTTAACTTATACTTACAAGCTTTTCATCTTGACAAATTGTTGTTGTCATAACTTTAAAGAAACGAGTAGTGGAAGGTGAGAGAGTTTGCTTATTTCCTTGGTTGCTAGTCATTGTTGTTGATTGATCTTTGATTTTGCTTTTACAACCCTAATTGTAAAAGCAAGTGAATTTTTTCAAGCTCTTGTTCTTTTCTCCTGTTTTGTTATTTATAGCAAAAGTTTTAGATTTACTCGCTATTAGGGTTAATAAACTCAATTGCTTTTTTCCTAAGAATCAAATCAAATTTCGATTAAAGAAAAAGATTTAGATCAGTCTATTAATAAAACAAATCTATTTAATATTTCCTAAACTATTCTAAGCTCTAAAACCTATATAAACCTAAAATTAGAACCTAAGAAGGGACGAACAAGAAGAGAACTGAAGAACCCTTTGCTTGAATCTCTGTTGCATCTTCAAATTTTTGGACCTTGAGACCGAAGATTTGAAAATTGAAGAGAAGTTCATTGTTGTGCCTCCAGTTAGTCTGTACTTACAAAAGGAGAAGAAGGAAAGAAATAGAAAGAGGAGAAAAGGATTAGAAAAAAGCCAGAGAATCATAAAGGAAAATTAATACTAAAAGAATTGCAACAATGATAGATAAGCCTGAAACCATTTAGCTTTTAGGGTTTTGATTATATGATGATTGGTGTTTGATTGCGTGATTGGGGTCTGGTTTGGGATTTATGGGTTCAATTTGGGGATTATGGTTAGGTTAGGGTTAGGGTTCTTCCTAATAAGGGTTAGGGTTCTTAGGTTATGGGGTTAGCATTCATAAGGTTGTATTTCTGGGTTTTGGATAAGGTTAGGGTTCATACGAGAACCCTAGGGTTCATAGGGTTAGGTTGAAGATTCATTGGGGTTCATGTATTTGATGAAGATCTGGGGTAAGTTATGATGAATGTATGAATATTTTTGGGAACTTTGCACCCCCCAGAATTAATAAGATAACTAAAAATACACCCCCTTTGATTTATTTGAATAATTTATTTATTCTATTATTTTGTTTAATTTATTTTGATTTGTTATAATTATTTATTCTTTATTTATTTATGCATTAATGATCATCAAATTTTCTCTTATCATTTTTTATTGTGCATTAAAATATTTTTTGCATTTGTCATAAAATTACTAATAAATAAATTGGATTAATATTAAAATATTTAATATATTTTTAATAATAAGAAAATAGTTATTTATTAAATATTTTCTAAAATACTAACCATTTATTTTTTTTCATTTATCAAGCATTCAAACTCTTTTTTCAAGTTGGATTATAATTTCTAAGACAACTAACCAATTAAACTTAACATCTTTTTTACTAACTTAATTTCAAATTCAACTTTATTTTCAAAAAAAAGATTGTGTAGATATTTTATAATAACTGCAAACTGCGTCTACGACTACGCTATTTTTGAACCCAGACAAGGTTCCAGGAGAATTCAAAATATTTTCATAATCCATAAAAAATAAACTAACCAAACACATTCGAACTATGAAATTGAACTCTGATTCTTCATAAGGAGATACGTCGGCACGCGGTTTAAAAACCAAGGCGAGTTCACACCTAAAAAACTAAATTCTTTTCTTAAATATATATAAATATTAAATACCAAATTCACATCTTACCCTTAAACCTAAAAGCAGATCCACTTGAGAACAAGGGAGATGAAGGGTGCCTAACACCTTCCATTCGTCTAACCGACTCACGAATTTAGAATCTCTGATAAAATTAGGGTTACCCGTTATTCACCGTCCTTAGGATAAAATTTAATGGTGGCGACTCATATTTTTTGCCGGTTACGACACAAATCGATTGGATATTTTTTTTGTAACGAAAAAATGTATTCCACATAACCTTTACATCCGCATCAGTCTTGAGCTCGAAGTCATTGTCAATCGAGGGTGAACGGTACTCGAGCTTCACAATTTTTTGATTATTAGCGTATGGTAGGAGTTCTTCTAGTATGAAATTCAGATCTGCAAGAGGGATATACTCAATGAATTTGAATGCAATTGATGATTTCTTCTCATTGATGTAGACATATGTAGTATTCCCAAATAATGTTTATTCTGATGTAATGTAATAATGTAAACAAATGATATGAGAGCATCATATTTATACAAGTTATAGGCCAATATGAACCTCGAAATTTCTATCATGTACCAGGGAATGTTCCAAAAATGCATCTCATGAACCACCCTATTTGTATTTTTTTTAAACAGTTTAGGTGCGTCTAAAGATGCATCTCCAGAACCACCCAACACAATATGAATTTAGAAACATTGTAAAATAGAATCTGTTTCAGAAAAAAACTGAAATGTTAGGAAAACTGAAACATGTATATATATATATGATATCATCAACATTAATACAAGATTACATACAAAAACTAAAATGAATCAAAACAAGTGTCACCGGCTAAATCTATATCTATCGATGGTACCACCTTTGAATTTTGTTTATTTGATTCTCTCTCAATCTCACCCAATTTGGTGAACTCTTGCATCCTTTCCAAAAAATGATTCGGCCAAGTCTCCGCTTTTGTGGATTAATAAGTTATCCATTCTAGTGATGTTAGTGGTATAGGGCAACCCAGTTTCAAATAAACTTGAACAAAGTGTCGTGACTTTGAAAGCCACCCGATACACATAATATGATCATTTGGATTTGGAGGTGGGGGCGTGTGCAATGGAAACTTTTTTCCAGAGAAATCATATCTTTTCAAATCAAGACACACTCTTTCATACACATTTTTTATAAGATGGCTCATTTCAGGGAATCACATCCATTTATCCTCTGGTGTCGGTCCACTAATGCAAGGAACAAGTGATTCATAAATTGCATCATAATTTTGGTTTGTCTTGTATAGTCCTGTGTATGACTCTCTATGCCCCTTCAACTCTTTGATCACTTATTGGTGGACAAGTGTATGATCCTTTTCCCATTTACCGAGTAAAGCCGAAACAACTCGAAACTCATAGTTACCGTCACCCTTAACATTGATGACTCGTTCAATGTATTTGTGCAGAAAAAGCGACATCTCATTGCAGAACTAGATTTTTGGTAGATGCAGTGAAGAAGGTGGTTTGTGATGTTGGGTATAATCAAATAAAAGTATTGTTTTATCGTATCCGTAGAGATTGGAGTGATATCAAAATCGTTCAACGATTTCTATATTTCTAAGCATAATTTTCAAGATTTGTTTTGTTTATAAGTGACAAAAAGTAAAATGTGTAAAAATATAAGTTTTAGAGAATAGACTTGTTGGGAATTGATGTTCATTCGCCGATTCAATATGCATATCAAAAATCAGTTATACATAATTTAAGAATATTTCTTTATCATCACGTATCACACACAAACAAAGCTCATGTCTAAACCTTGATGCGATTTCTACCTTATGGTTTTATCGACGATTTCTCAGTCTATTAAACAATACAGTAGCATTGGGATTCGATGCTTTTAGTGAATATTAAACCTAAATCTATGTCTAGAATTTAGAGTTTAATAGTTGTTATCTTGGATCAATATCAGAACCGTATTTGTCAATATCAATTCAATCCATGAAATAAATGGTAAAACAAAGATAACAACGATATTGATTCAAACATAAATTGCATATAACGCCACGACTAAAGAGAATGCATATTGTTTCGACGAATTACGACCAATCTCAACAAGAGAGGGATTTAGCTACTCATGGTAGCTGGAATCACAAATGGAGAATTGAGTTGAAATGACATCAACGAAGATTTCCCGACTCTTGATGTGAATCCACCTCCTTCTCCTTACAATCTCCTCTATTTTCTACTCCACTGCTATTATGGATGATATTATATGATAATACAAGTGATAAAACTGGAACAATTTTTTGAACTGAGTTGTTGTATTATTTATAGTTGTTCTGGCCGCCTGAGTTTTCTAAGAAAACTATACTTCACTAAGCAAAGTCCTTGCTTCTTAGATAAGTTTTCAAATCAACTTGGCAACTCGAGACCGCCAAAGTTCGCTAAGAGAAGTTTGGCCCTCTTAGTAAAGTTGATTTCTTTGTCCTTAAGCTTTTTCAAATATCTTCCATAAACCGCCAGAGTTTGCTAAGCGAGGTGAGGCTCACTTAGCGAAGTTGCTTTCTTCAGCCTGAAGTCTTCTTGACCACCTTGTTTCGCTAAGCAAAGGCCCGATTTGCTAGGAGAATTGCTTCGCTTCTCCTCGCTGCTGGCGAAACTTGCTGATTTTCTTATGTCTTATGTTTGCTACGCGAACTATTCCTCACTAAGAGAATTGGTCTATTCGATATTGTTCGCTTAGTGAAGTGTCTGTTAGCTGTTTTTTTTAGGGACCAAATCCTACACAAAACAAAACAAACCAAGTAGACTTGCATAATAACATTAATATTCAATATTTGAGGTTTTTATGTTATAATCTTGATATTTAAGTAAGATAAATGCTATGTTTTAATAGGATATTTTAACATGAATTAAGCATTTATCAAACTCTCCCCAACTTGAATCTTTGTTTGTCCTTAATCAAAGTAAAACAAAAGCAAGAGTTTCTTTACCAATTTTCACATGATCAAAAAAATTCTTCAATAAAGTAATCAAGGCACATAGTCTTTGAGGCTGCACCTCCAAGTGTTGATGCATTATTACTTTCTTTAGCATTTTAGACATATTCATGAAACAAGTCTTCCACATAAAATTCATGTCAAGTAATCCAAAGCAATAAACATGTTAGTCATGAATCACACCTATCACACTTTTTATATAACTGAACGTAATGAGGTATTTTGATCTCTCACATGACAAAACTTGCTAACATCTTGATTAATTCATGCATTTATCTAAGCAAAATATGTTGATATTCAAAGACAAAGATCACTATGGTCTTTTTATGGTTGTAACGTGGCCAAGGTACCAACGAAGTGTTATACCCATGGCTAATGGAAACAAAGTGGTTTTTGGTTTTTATTTCGTTTGAAGTGAATTCATAGGTTTTGATTCTTTTTTGTATCAAACCATTCATTCAAACCTTTCTTGTTTCTTTTGAACACATTCATTTTGAGTAATCATTG